TAAGTTGTCTCAATTTACTCTGTGATGCCTCTTTTATCGGAGCATGTTTGTTTGTTACTTCATTTATAACGTTAATTACATCCTGTGTGGTTTTATTTAAATTAGTATTTAAATTACAACATTTATCATTCCAATCGATTTGTCTCATATCATTTAAATATAACTCTGTATTAAAGTGCTCAAAATTTCTATAAAACTTTTTTTCTTTATTTCGTTTAATTGGAGTATTTATAATACAAAATATGGGTAGATGATCGGATATATCAAATAATGCTATTCCCGATGTTATTTGAGGAGTAAGTGTATTGGTATAAATATGATCAATTAGCGTTTTTGTGTGATTTGTTATTCTTGTGGGTTTAGTAATAAGGGGAGTGGTATTGTTAGTATACAACATATCTAAATATTTTTCAGTAGGTTGATGGTTCAAGTATTGAAGGAAATCAATATTTATATCTCCCAATATATAAAATTGATATTTGTGTTGATTTAATTGCTTAAGCAGTTCATTCAGTTGCTCTGTAAAAATTTCGATATTTGATTTTGGATGTCTATATACGCACCCTATAATGATGTTTTTTTCCTGATAACCAGGCTCAATTTCTACCCAGCATGATTCGACAAGATCCATAGAAAACTTAATGTCTGGTCTTTCAATAACTTTTAAACTATTGCAAACATAAATACCAGTTCCACCTGCCGCAGTCATCGAGTCAACATGATAGAATTTATAGCCTGATATATCAATATTTGTAACAGTATTATTATTTAATTTAGTTTCAGTAATTGCTACAATATCTGGTTTTTTCGAAAGCGAATACATCATGTCATTTAACAAATTTAAATTCTTTGGAAGACTTCTTATATTACAATGAAGTAAAGAAAGCGATTTAGGACCTTTTATCTTAAGGATGCTATCAACTTTTTCACTCTGATAATAGTCAGAGCAAATATTATCTAGCATATGGTCCGGATCGCTTTCGTCTAATTTATCTGGGTTTGGCAACAATTTATGTAAGTCAATATTAGAATCCACACACCTATAATCAATATTGAATAAAGAGTTAAATTCCTTATTATTTAAATTATAAAAAGGCAATTCAACTAATTCAGTGTATGCATGTAAATTACCTATAGACACACTAGTTTTTTCCATAGTTGACTTAGAAGGCATAATTAGAATTTATTTGCATGCGAACAACCGCAAGCATGATATGCATGAGAGCACACATTGTTATTAAAAAGATTCGTTCAAGAAAGCATCGAAGTCCCTGGCATGTACAAAACTAAAAACACGAGAAGCATCCTCTTCCCGTAACATAATTTTTCCATTTATAGTCCAGGTATGCTTCCATCTCTCTGATCGCTTGAACTCATTTACACGTCCAAACAGTTTTCGCCTACGTGCAGTTAGTGATTCGTTTACATAAATATTATTAAATTCACGATTGTTATTTTCGTACTCACGCTTAACCAGTGGCAAATCATTTGACTTCTTGCCAACCAATTTACTTCGTTTTTTATAGAACAAGTCTTTAGTATCCCGATGCACAAACTTAACAATGAGCTTGTCCTTTACCTTACGAGTTGGGGGAAGGCGGTGTGCGGTAGAAATTTGATGATCTGCGATCTCAATTCCCATGAGCTGGCCAATTTCCTTTACAATTTCCTTCGGCTTATCGACAGGCAGCATTGGGACGCCGGTAATCTCCACACAGTCGCGACGAATATACTGCTGTATGTCATCTTGCTCATCAACCAAATCATCTATAGACTTAATTTTATCTTCCAAAACTTTCAGACAACTTGATATTTCCATGACATCCCGCTTTGTTATTTGAAGAGAGTCAGTAAAGTTGTCGTACTCTTTCGACAGGAAGGTTTGCGAGGCTTCGATTTCAATACACGTGGCTGTTAGGGCGGAAATTTCATCTTTTATTTTGTCAATCTCAGCTTTAAATTCCTTTTGAATACTTGGCAGAAATTCATCTGCCCAAAGTTCTCTTAATGTGTCTGCTGTTAAATAACTAGATTTAGCAGCTTTAGGAGGCATTATTTACGGAGCATTAAAATGTACGTCCGTCCTGCATTAAACCTCATAGACGCCTCATTAAACCTCATAGACGCCTCATTAAACCTCATAGACTTTGTTGTATATACTGTAAGTGATATCCATGTTGAAAGGATTTATTTTAGTAAAGTTGAATGGGAAAAGTGTACTTTACCTGAATTAACAACTTTCTATTTTAGTTATCTAATGCCAGATACTGTTACTGTATTATAACATAATTATATGTTCACATAACATAATTTAAATAGTGGACACACTACTAACTGTACTTAATAAAGTCAGAAAAATACTGGACTGAACTGTGTAGAGTCATATATAGTAACATACAGGGCTGCCGAGAGGGGGGGGGGGAATTGCCCCGGGTTCGGGGGGGCCCTAGAAATTTTTTGTTGGGTCCCAGTCATTTTTTGGGGGGAAATATTTCCGTTGAATTAATGGCCTGAAAAACAAAGTTAAATATGAACAAATAACCCAAATTTTGTTTAAGTCTGCAGCCATAGATATCTGCAAGTCATGTTTGAGAATGCGAAAGCTTTTAATTCTTTGGATAGCCCTCTCAACATGTATCCTGTGTTTAGCAATTCTCCTAGTTTTAATCTCATCCTCTTTTGAAAATTGTGCTTGCTCACCAAGGAAGGGGGGTATGTTCAACGACACGCCTGGTGGTAAATCATTCTCAATTTCAAAGCCTCTATCTGCCATCACTTCATCACCTGGTTCCAATAATTTCAAAATTCCACAGTCACTTGTCAGTTGTTTATCAGATGTATTACCAGCATAAAGTTCTGAAACAAAAGTTAAGTATCCTCTTGGGGCAATGCCAATCAAGCCTTTACCAGTGTTATGGTTTTTGTAGGTTGAAAAGGTAGCACTTTGGCTTCTTGGTTGAGAAGGTGTTTCAATGAATAACTCTGTGCAGTTGATTATGACCCTTGTGTTTGGATAACTCTCCTTAAAACTTGGTGGCGAGGTTTCTCTCACATAACTTTGAGAAGGCCAAATGGGTATGGACCCTAAACGTCTGTATAAGAAATCAAGCCAGGTAACCCAAATTCTCGACACATGGGATTAGGATATATTAAACCTGTTGGCTAAGTCCCTCTCAAGCAAACCCAATCTAAACCTTACAAGGCACAAGAATAACTCTTCCTCTGGTGATAATGTCCTCCTGGGTCCACATTTTTCTCGATTTTCTGTTGGCTTTGTAGTATTCCAAGATCCAATATATTGTAACCTTTCACATGCAGGGCAAAGATAGTCATAAAATGCCTTAAATGTACTGTAATTAGAAAAGCCAGTATAAAACTCGATATCGCTATCATTATTGTTAATGTGGTATATAGAAAAACTGCACTGTTCGACTTTTCCCTTCAAATCGGATATCTTTTCTTGTTGTTCTTGATCTTTCTGCTGAAGGTTTTCAACCAGCTCTTCAAGTTCTAAAATTCTGTCCTCACTAGTGGGCTCATCTTCTATCTCAGGACTCTCTTCAGTTGTGTTGTCTCTATTTCTGCATTTAGATGTTGTTCTGGGTTTCGGTTGGGTGGGCAGTAATAATTTTTGCACTATAGTTGGAACATTGTGAAGACATGTCTTCTTGCCACCCACAAAATGCTTTGAACAAACTCTGTGATGGTTGTTTGGTGTAAAATTAGCTCGTCCGATCCAATGCAACCACATCTTTCTGAGCTTTTTGTCAGTTGGAATTTGGTAATATGAAAGTTCTGGATTTCTTTTAGTGTTGCTACTACATGTTGGAATACAGCAAGTTGTTCCACCTCCTTTATATTTTCTTTTAGAACATGCATTTTCTGTGTTGCTTTTATCTGCCTCCGATGAAGTACCCGGCTCAATATCCATCAAAAAATTTATATTATTTAAACCTATACCTTAATTATTTATTTCACTATTTACAAATTTAATCCTTAGGGCCTGCCTGAAGATTAAAATACCTAAATTTACTATAATTAACTAAATTTTAAAAATTGACTATATTATATTCTACTACCTTAAATGCAAATTTAAAACGGTTTTTCCTACGTTAATATAACTACGAATTTAATATATTTTAAGCCTAATATTTTAATACTAAAAACCTACTTGTTTATTTTGACAGGAAATAAACCGACCACAACAAAGGAAGCAGAAAAATAAGCGACAACAGAGGCAAAATGATTTCTCTTTGGCGTTTTTACAAAGTAACGAAGCCGGGGCAGAAAAACCGCTTTGAACTGCTTTTAGTTCGCGCCAAAACATTTTAAGGTCTCTTTAAAACATTGTGTTTGAGCGCCATGCCGATCGAACGATCGACAGACATTTTGTCATGAATTAGTCGATTTCAACAAGCGAAAAAATCGGCAGGAAACACTCGATCGTTGTCAAAATACGAGATATACATCAAGAAACAACACACACAAATTTGTAGGTTAAAATGGTGAGCTGTCCGATGTTTACTAAGCGCGCTCACCTTAAAACGTTGGGAAGGCCCTTCCTCCTGGAACGTATTTATGAGCACGCTGTTCGCTCCTCAGTTCTTCTACAGGAATTTTCTCGTCCATTTTCGGTTCGATTTCGCTGTACTCGAGTCAAAACAAACTTTATAGCATTACAAAGTTCTCCCTTGTTTTAAAATTTTCAAACGTTACGAAAAAAGTGTTAAAAATAAACTATATTTCTCACATGCAAAATGCTCGCTCCACGGCGGCCATTTCGCGCGCAAGTGAAGGTTACCATTTTTCCCATGATGCTTTGGTAACATGCAAGTTGCCTATTTCTATACCTAACCAGGAGCAATTGACGACCCTTCTTATTACGTTTTCGTAGTGTTTGCATCGTGGTTATAGTGGTATCACTGATATTCAAGATGGCTTATTTTTTGTCCTGACCCGTGCCAGAACTTTTAAAAAAGCTAGGGTCAGGCGTGTGATAGCCAACAGCAAAATATTCGCGAAAACATTCAATATTGTCATTTGAGGCCGCCATCTTTGTCAGTGATACCACTATAACCACAATGCAAACCACCCCGAAAACATAAAAAGGGGAATCTAGTATTGCAGGAGATGTAATTATAGGTCCTGCGATGTGGTACAACACTGTTTTATTACTGCGCCCTGGCATTAACCACAACTAGTCTTGTGTCTCATTTGGTTTGTGCACTGCACTGGAATCGCAGGTTCCATTCCTGCCAGAGGGCCTAATGTTGCATTTTTTGCAACAGCTCCTGCATATATGATTAGGTCTAAAAGTGTATATAAATTTACGTTCGAGAATTACAAAAAACCATCCACTATATATGAGGTCTATCGAATGAAATCCCCAAATCTCAATTATAGTTCTGTACGAGATAGTCCCCATATATATATATATACATTCTTCATTAGACATTAGAATACATTCTAATTATACATTAATCAGGAGGTAGTAAAACAAGTTTTACTATGCCTTGCATTAATATACCTTACCATTTATTCATTTTTTGACACAATGGCCTCGTTTTTTTGTTTACTAGTTTTGGTACAATAGGTGCACACAAAGGTTATATTCCCATGTTTTCTTCACAATTTGGATCCTTGTTGATCTTAAGCCTAATAGCAAGTACGTTCTTAACCCTATTGTTGTAACAAGAAGTATGTATCATGGAACAGTAATGCGGGCTCAGAGTACTAATGTATAAAAGAGATAGCAGTTTTATTAAATGTGTCTTAATCTACTGTACTTAAATGTGTGCATGTGTTAATATAAAACGGGATGTTTAACATGGTGTCAGGTGTGTAGTTAAACGAGCCTGAAAGAAACATGGCGAAACCAGAAACTAGTGAAATAAGTCGAGCAATTTCTCACCTAAAACCACCTACTGAATTTGACTTCGACGTTTCAAATGTCGCGCACTCATGGAAACGTTGGCGAGAAGAGGTAGAGCTGTATATGGAATTGGCTATGGTTGGAAAGAAAGAAAGAAGAGACGATAGTTAAACTCTTTCTGTACATTGTTGGAAGTCAGGGTCGAGAAAAATACGAGACATTATCGTTTGATCAAGAACCCGAAAAGCGGAGCTTTAAAGATATTGTTGAAGCCGGATTCTCGAACTATTGTGATCCGAAGAAAAACGAGACGGTAGAGATACAAGTTCTTTACAAGAGTGCAAGAAGCGGGAGAAACATTAGATAAGTTTATCACAGATGTGAAAATTCTGGCTGCAACGTGTAACTTTAGGCAGCGTTTACACTGTACCGTTTTCGTAGCGTTCTCGTATTGTTCTTAATCCTCAAGGGAACGCAAGACAATAGTCTAGTTCTCTCGAACAATACGAGAACGCTACGAAAACGGTACAGTATAAACGCTGCCTTAAACAGCTTAAAGAATCATTGATCCGAGACCGAATAATTTGTGGCATGACTGACTCGAAGCTACGACAGGACTTGTTAAAAATACCTGAACTGAGCCTGGATAAATGCATAGAGAATTGTCGCGCAGCTGAACTATCAAAAGAACGAAGTAAAGAGATCAAAGACAACGATAGAATTTATGCTTTCAACGCTGCACAGGGCGGTAAGCAAAACAGAAGCCGAAAGGTAAGAGACGAATATAATTCTAAACAGTTGAACAATGCCGTAGGCGTAGTCAGACAGGAAATGCAAATATTGTGGGGGTATGCATGAATGGAACAAAACAAACTGCCCTGCGTATGGGAAAGAATGCCGAAAGTGTCGTAAATTAAATCATTTTGCCTCTGTGTGCAAAACTAAAAGACAAACAGTTAAAAAGGTAGACACTTCTAGTGATAGCAGCGACTATGAGGAAATTAAAATGGTAAAAGTGGACGATAAGAGAAAGCCAGAAAAATCGTCAAGCACAAAACAATTCCCAAAGCGATTATATGCCTCAATAACTGTTGGTAAACAGCCGGTGAATTTTCAATGTGACAGTGGCGCGACATGCAATGTCATTTCATTATCTATGTTAGAGCGCTGTTTAGGAAAAGTTCAATTGAAAGGAACAAGCCGAGTTCTCAAGATGTATAACAAAGCGACTGTACAACCGGTCGGACAATGTGTGTTACAATTAAAAAATGAGAAAACTGGCAAAAGCTATGAAACTGAATTTGTTGTTTTGAAACAAGAACGCACACCATTGTTAGGCAGTGAAACAATTCAACAAATGAGTCTAATCACAGTCAGATACGAGAATATATTGTTGTTGTCGGTTAAATCGAGTAAAACAGCGTTGACTAAAGATACCCTTATGGAACAATATTCAGATGTTTTTCAGGGGACTGGCAAATTTGACGAACAATATCATGTAACAATTGATCCAGATGCAACACCTGTGGTTCATCCACCAAGACCAGTATACCTATTGCGCTGAAAGACGATTTGAAAGCAGAATTGGAGAGGTTAGAGTCTGAAGGCATTCTTAAAGTGGTAACCGAACCGACACCTTGGGTTTCGAATATGGTTATTGTTAGAA